TCGTCTTAAAATCAAAATGATGCTAATTCTTTCAACGATGAATTATTTATTTTTTCAGATAGACATATAATTCCTCTTCGTTTTGTTTTAGATTTTCGTTAGAATATATTATAGATGCATTCATTATTTGATTTAATTGCGTGTAAAACGAGGTATTTGTGGAACTAAATTTCACAGTTAACAAGGTTAAACGTTATAATGAAACATGTTTCTAAGACTTTGTTTCTGTATAATGCACTGCAAAAATTCTCATGTTCAAAACAACTACACACGATTATTTATTATCTCTTTTATACGATATCTTGTCGAAGAACTCACTAATCTCATCCGGATGACCAACTTCGATGGATATGGGGTGAAAAGACTCCAACGCATGCCATGCAAAAATAGTTTGATGATCATGAACTACAAACTGCTTCAAGACTTTCCATGTTGGTTTTACCTAACCAATGGAAAGGAAAATTCCTCAGCGAAATGTTCATCGTAAAGTTGTGTTTAACACGTCGACCGTCGCGTCGATTAATTATTAAGGTAACTTTTCGACAAGCCTTAGAAATAAATTAACCTCTTGTCCTATGATATCGTGTCAGACTCGTGTAGGACTTCAAACAGAATTTAACAAATATAAATATTCAGTTTGTTTGAAATCAAGCTAAATATTATTCATCTCTTATCAATGATTATATTTTGGAGCAAACGTTGACACAGAATATACCCAGGATGTTTCTCTTATTTTCAATAAATTATTAATAACAGGGTAGGTAAATAGATCACAGTTCAGGGGTCAAAATGATTTACTAAATAAACCAAGTTAAAATTTTCAGAGATTTTTGAAATTTAACTCCACAGTTAACAGGCTGATTCACAACTAGTAAGAAGTACGTTAATATATTAAACTAAAAGCGATCGTGTATCTAACATCACTGACCCAGTTGCCCCGCAAGCGACACAAGAACCTCATTCGCAGGAATATCCTCTATCATTTCTAATTGAATTCTTGCGCGTGGCCAAAATCGCCAACTTTTCATCCATTAAATCCAATCCACAACGGCGGGAGGAACGGGCAGGTACCGTACACGGGACAGGTTCACCATATCGTACAATTTCCATTGACGCTTTCAGTATTGGCCATTGACGTTAGCTTCGCAGCGGCCAGCGGCGGATATCATTACGATTAGTCCCTTTTGTGACGTCTGCCGATGGAATTGGATAATAGACGATCCACAGATTACGCGGCTAAGTGGATCTAAACGGCATGAATCCATGATTCGGAGTTGAATCGGCGATCACGTGATCACGTGTTCACGTTTTCTCTGCCCGTAGCAGCGACATTTTCTTCCTTTTTTTTCGTTTTTCATTCACAGCTTGTTCCTGCCTTGGGGTAGGCATCTTTGTTCGTCGCGGGAGATGAGAGGAAACCGTGCAGTTCGCTCGGGACCGTGTCCCTTGCCGGTCCAACGGGTTCGCCGAAGAAGAATCTTTGATAGTGAATTGCATCAAGGTCAGTGATAACGCAGATCGAAGTCTTTGGTGATTGTTAGATACGGGCTGGTGAATTGATGCTGCCAGAGCGTTCCCTACCGCATGCAAGTACGGACGTGTTGGATGAAGATCGCGAAGTAAGTCCGAGTGTACGAGTGATACATGAGTTTTTAACGGACGCGAGAGTTTAACGTCTTATTGTGGTGTCACGAGGGATGTTTAGGGTTCATATTTATCTACAGGCTGGTTCGTCGATGCATTTTTCATTGTAATAATCGACAGATCTGTTTTTTTAGGGATTGTATGGAACTGGTAAAATTTTTGATTGGTTATGAGGTTATTGCAATTCTATGACCACTGTGTATTCAGTTCTCGAGGAAACTATTACTATTATTGAATGCTGTGTACCGAATGAAACTTATATTGAATGCATTTTTATGTAATTAAACAATTTTTATTATCTTGAAAGTGGAAGAAAGTTCTAGTTGAACGTTTTGTCTGTTCCGAAAGAGTTAATGTTATGATTAAGTAATTTCATGGAAACGTTGAGAGGTAGATGAACTTCGGTAAAATTCTATTATATAGAAATTACAATGTTTTTTCTCTTCTATGTTTATTTCCTGCTTTCCATTTCTTAATTAGTGCTAATTAAAAAAAATATTCTTGATTTTGATATTTTATCATCAAATTAAAAATATATGATTTTTCAGAACTTATATTAATCAATTATAAGATAATTGGTAAAGCTGAGCTCTTACGACAGAGTTAATATTTATATGTGTACATAGTTATTATTTAATAATATACAAAATTATATTAATAAATAACTTTCATTTATAAAAATTGATAATTCTATACGGCATCTGTTGCTTTTAATTGAATTTTATCTCGCATAAAATGCTTCTAAGGATCAGCTTTGATATCTCAGGTCTTGC